CGCGCCGGCAGGTTCTCACGAGTGGGGGCTGGGAGGGGCAGGGCGAGAGGTGGGGGGGCGGACAAAGGGACCCCGCGTGCCTCCCCCGCCGTCCCCAGCGCGCGCGCCCGGGCCGACCCGCCACATCTGGAATTCATTGCAGCCGCCGCCGGAAAGGGGAGGAGAGGAGGGCGGGGCGAGTGGGGGGCCTAGGCGGTGTCTCTCCCTGCCCCCCTCTGTCCCTGGTCCCGAGCCCCGGGACGCAGTCCCAGCCCGGCGGGCAGCCCCAGCCCCTGCCGATGCCGTCCCGGGGACGCAGACGCCAGAGCCCCTCCGGCCAGGGCAGGGACCCGGGCCGGCCCAGCCAGGTGAGTGTGCGGGACGAGGGGGAGGCAGAAAGGACGGGCCCGCGATCCCTGAGTCGCAGGATCGGAGCTGGGGAGCCAGGCCAGGGGTTGGGGGCGTACCGGGGCGCGCACGCGCCGCCGGTGCTCCTGCCGCACAGAGGGAGTGGTCACTGTGCGCCCTCTCCACGACTCCAGGCGGCCCCTACAGCCTCGCCCGCGAACCCCGAGACTGAGCTCCCCGCCTTCCCCGGCGGCAGGAAGTTGGCGCCGAAGAGAAGGCGGATCCGAGCGCTTTCGGCCAGAGACTGGGAGGCAGAACGGTGTGGTCCGGGACCGGGGGGGAGGGAGGGGGGGCTTGGGGAATGTGTATGAGGGGAGGGCTCTCCCGCAGGCCGACTCGGGCTGGGCGAGAGCGAAAGGTGCAGCGCGCCGCGGAGCTTCTAAGCCAAGGGGCGGGGTCCCCAGGGAGGGCCGTCTGCCCCACCGCCTGCAGGTCTGCCTCGGTGTCTCAGTTTCCCCGAGTAGTTCGTCGTCTTCAGTCACCCCCCTCGGGGGCGTGGCTTTGTTCTGGAAGGAAAGGGAACGTGAGTGCGTGACTCCCGCGCCTCTCTTTCACCTGGGGCCCAGGGACAGGGCGGGGGTGCAGTCACCCGTGGCGCGGACCCCGTGTGGTCCCGGGCCCAGCAGAGCGTCGGAACCTCGCCCCCTCCTCCGGCACGAGTTGACTCACCCGGGGATTTCCATGCCCTCCCCCGACTCTGCCCTAGTCAGATGCTCCAGGCGCCACGCGCCGAGCCCACGGGCCCCCCGCGTGGCGCGACGGCGGTTTGGTATTGGCCGTGCGGCTGCTGCTGGGATTCCGCCCCCCCCCCGACTCCCGCCCCTAAGTCCTCTGGGAATACTGGGACGAAGCCCCTGGCGGGACGCAGAGGCGTCCCCCACCCCCACGGGACGTATAGGGGTTCCTCGCGTGTGGCTGTCGCGAGAGAGGAGGCGCGGCCCCAGCGGGAGCGAGTGTGGATACCGCGCATTCCACCGCCAGATAAGGAGGCCTAGACTGCAGCCCGAGGGCGGGGGCGGGTCCTGCCGCTGTCTCCACGGAGACGCGCCGGGCCTCGCCGGTCAGGGGGCTGCCGGCGGCCAGCCTTTACTGTTGTTTGGGGGCTAGGCTGAGTTTAGGTGCCTCTACCGTCGGGGGCCCACGGGGCTTCTTTCATTCGTCGGTCCGTCCATCCATCCATCCATCATCCATCCGTCCATCATCCATCATCCATCATCCATCCATCATCCATCATCCATCACACACGTTTTCTGAGTACCTCTGTATGCCAGGCATCATGCCAAAGGGGCTGAAAACGGACTCGGTCGCTGGCCTCCAACACTCATATTCTACCACGGAAGCCAGACAGAAAACAAAAATTACAATAATAATCTCTGAGAATGGCAAGTTGTGTGAAGATAATAAAGCAAGATGCTGTCATAGAAAGGCCCCGGGGAAGGTGGCTATGATAGACTGACGGTCAGAGGAGTCAGTGGCCTTAAAACCAAACCAGAAAGAGGAGAAGACAGTCATTCCAGGATTTGAGGGAAGGGCATGCCAGGTGGATGAACAGCAAAAGCACAGTCTCTGAGGTAGGGATGGGGGTGGCACCTAGGAGGCCAGTGTGGTTGGAATTGAGAGGACCTGGGGGAGACTGGGAGGAGGCCAGATGGGCAGGGGCCAGGCCGTTTTGGGCAGTGGGGAGCCATGGAAGAATTTGGAGCTGGGGGTGTGACACAGTGTATTGGCGTTGTGACTTAAATAGACTTCAATAGCTCCCCCTGGCGCTGCATGGAGAACGGCAGTGTAGGGCGGGCCTGACAGCTGAAGGGAAACCAAAAGGGGGTGGGGGGGCGCTGCCCTAGGGCAAGTGGCATGGATCAGTGGAACTGTAAGCACTGAGGGCCTGCCTCAGGGGAACTTGGAGGAGGGGCTCTTGGACGCTGCTGAGGCTTCCCCTGTCCTTCCTTTCTTCTAATCTCCCCCTGAACAGTCTTGGTCTATCTTCCCTTCCCTCCAAACCCTGTCACTTGTCCCTCTCATTCCATTTCAGGCCTGGCCATTCCACGGTTCTGAGCCCAGTGACCTCTTACTGAGCCTCTGGGAAGAAGTTAGGACGGCCTTGGTGAAGGTGAGCAGGAGACAGGCCCTCTGGGAGCCTGACACAGGGAGGGGAAGCAACCAAGGCCTGTATCTGCCTGGGGATGCCTCTTCTGTCGGCCCCAATCTCCAGGCCCCGCTTCCTCTTTCTGGGAAGCATGAGCCTGCCTTAAGCTCTGTCTTCAGCAAAGTCCTAGTGGGGAAGATGAGAAGAGGGAAGCAGTGTGGGCCTCAGTTTCCCCTTCTCTAACTAGGCGAGTCACGCCTCCTTCTGAGGATGCCTTGACAGCCTCCAAGGGCTGCAGAAAGTGAGTGTGCAGGCTCCCAATCCCCACCTCCCCCACCCCCCAAGGAAGAAGACAGACTTTTCTGTGGGTCTCTGGGGTGGGAGGACTGAACCCAATTCTTATTTCTCCAGGAAGCCTCCATAACTCTTCCTCTTGGCTGCCAGACCAGAAGGTTGGTGGCCCCGTGTGAGGGAGGGGTGAAGGGGGTGGCCATGGGACCACCAGCACGGGTGCTTCCCAGGCCTGCAACGGGCCCTTGCTTCTCAGTCATGAGCCTCAGGAGGGGCCCAGCAGGCCAGGGCAGCCTGGGGCCGCCTGGTCGGCGTGACCCGGCGGTCAGGCCGCGGTTCACACTCCCCCCAGGGACATCCACACAGCCCTAACTGTTCTCCGAAAGAAGTGGTCGGCCGGCAAAGGACAGATCGCTAGCGCCTTCCTTAGAGCGCCCCCAACTGGGCCAATCAAATGCCGAGGACGGAAAGCTCCGGCCAATGGGCGAATCGCTCAAGGCCCCGGGATTGAAAATAAGCCAATCAGGGCGCGAGCTGTTTCTGCCCCCGAAGGCCGGTCCAGTAAAGCGGAGGCCAGGGCCAAGCCAGCTCCCGGTCGGCTGCAGCCTGCAACGGGCAGAGGGCATCGGGGCGCCCAGGGCCGGGTCCGGCAGGGGAACAAGGGGCCTCTGTGTGGCGATCTGGGCGGGGCGGCAGTCTCCGGGGATGCGCACAAGCCCTTCTCTGTTTCCAAACTAGGACGGATGCCCCTTCACCCAGGGGGAGCAGCTGCCTCTGTCGGGCCCGGGGCCAGGGCGCCCCTCTGAGGGGGCGTCCGGGGACTGAGATGGCTTGGGTGACCCCGGAAGCCCCCCATAATTCCCAGGCTCACTAGGAACCGGCCTAACCAGCCTTTTCTGGAACGGCACTCCTGGAGCGCACGTGGTCCTTGCCAGGCATGTTTCCAGGCACCTAGGGAGGGCTCCTCCCGCGCCCTCCCCCATTAGCTAGAGGCAGGAGCTTCCTCCAGGCTCCCCTCGTGAAAGACAGACACTGCACCAGCCCCTCTGCGACACCCCCCGCCGCCACCACCAAGCTGGGAGGAGGCCGTGATGTTGGCCTCTCAGCCTCTGCCCACGCTTCTTCCCGCCCCCTCCCCCCACGGCTCAGTTTTCCTTGAGAGGGGGGTGACTCAGGCTTTCATGGAAACAAATGCCGTCCCCCACCTCCCCTCAGCCCCCTCTCCGCGGTGCCGCTCGCCCCCTCTTCGGCTCACATGACTTCAGCGCTGCCGCTCGCCCCCTCTTTGGCTCACATGACTTCAGCGCTGCCCCATCCTCCCCGCCAGGACCTCCCAGACTGGTCTCCTGTGGCTCCCCCATCCCATCACCCCCTCCCAGCCTTTCCCACACCGGATGTGACTGGGAAGTGAGGACTCCACCCTGTTTGTTCCTGGGGCCTCACATCTGGATTTCATCGTGGCGGGGGAGGGGGGTGCCAGCGCCCTGCCCACCCAGCTGGGACCCTCTGTCCCAGAGCAGGGCTAGATGGTGCTGATGAGAACAGGATGTTGGGAATCTTGCCTGGCTAGCTCAGTCTACATCCCCTCCTCAAAGATTGGCTGGAGGGCACCTAGTCCCCGGCTGTGTGTGTGTGGGGGGGGGCAGGAAGAGGGGAGCTAATATATTGGCTAATATTTATTGAGTGCTGGCTATGTGCTAAGGGTGCCTCATGTACCATTCAAGAGGATTTTCCCAGTACTCCTATAAAGCGGGCTTCCTTCTCCCCATTGCACAGATGAGGACATTGGGGGCTGAGAGGCCGAGTGTTGAGTGACTTGCCCAAGGTCCCACAGCATGTCAGGTGGAGTGGGGTTGAACCCTGGATTGCCTCCAAGGTCTTTGTCCTTGAAGATGCCATCACCTCCGAGGCGCTTAAACTTCAGGGCCGCTCTGGTGTCTCCGCAAGAGCTTATCTTGGGAGCACCCATGGCCGCAAGGCTTAGACCCAGCCTGAAATCCAGGGCAGTGGGTGGTAATGAGCAGGGGATGGTGCTATCAGCAGCCAGCATCTTGCTGACCCAGGTTGGCAGGCGGCATGAGGCCCCAGGCTCTAGTGTATTCCAGAAGGGAGATGAGCCCTCCAGGCCCTGCCCAAGGCTCACTCTCTGGGTAGGTGCGCAAGAGCTCTGGAAGTTTACTTTGTGTCTGTCATGCTGTTTGGGGGAGCTTCTGTTCTTTGGAAAGACAGTGTAGCCTAGAGGTTATAGAGGCTTTGGAGTGGTTCTCTAGCTTTGAGACTTACAGCAAGTGAGTTGACCTCTTTGGGTTTCCCTTTGGTAAAGCAGGGATGATGATACTTCTGACTTCATGTGGCCACTCAGTGAGAAGTGAGGGAGCTGGGACTCAAACCACTGCCATCTAAAGTCAGAGCCCAGGGGGCAGCCACAGCACTGACCTGTCTGTCTGTCTTGTCTGTCTCTGTCTGTCTTCTCTCTCTGCAGCTCTGACAGCCCCATGGCCCTAGCCGGCCACTGAGCCCCACCATGGGCAGCCTGTACTCAGAGTACCTAAGTCCCAGCAAGGTCCGGGAACACTATAATTACACCAAGGAGACGCTGGACACTCAGGAGACGCCCTCCCGCCAGGTGGCCTTGGCCCTCATCATCATCCTCTGTTTCGCCATCGTGGTGGAGAACCTGCTAGTGCTAATCGCAGTCGCTCGCAATAGCAAGTTCCACTCGGCCATGTACCTGTTCCTGGGCAACCTGGCCGCCTCGGACCTGCTGGCAGGAGTGGCCTTCATAGCCAATACCTTGCTGTCGGGCCCGGTCACGCTGGGGCTGACACCAGTGCAGTGGTTTGCCCGAGAGGGCTCCGCCTTCATCACGCTCTCCGCCTCTGTCTTCAGCCTCCTGGCCATCGCCATCGAGCGGCACGTGGCCATTGCCAAGGTCAAGCTCTATGGCAGCGACAAGAGCTGCCGCATGCTGCTGCTGATCGCTGCCTCGTGGCTCATCTCACTTGCTCTCGGCGGCCTGCCCATCCTCGGCTGGAACTGCCTGGGCCATCTCGAGGCCTGTTCCACCGTTCTGCCGCTTTACACCAAGCACTATGTGCTCTGCGTGGTCACCATCTTCTCCGTCATCTTACTGGCCATTGTCGCTCTGTATGTCCGCATCTACTGCGTGGTCCGCTCCAGCCATGCCGACGTGGCCGGCCCCCAGACGCTGGCCCTGCTCAAGACGGTCACCATTGTGCTGGGTGTCTTCATCGTCTGCTGGCTGCCTGCCTTTAGCATCCTGCTCCTGGACTACGCCTGCCCCGTCCGGTCCTGCCCTGTCCTCTACAAGGCCCACTACTTCTTTGCCTTCGCCACCCTGAACTCCCTGCTCAACCCGGTCATCTACACGTGGCGCAGCCGGGACCTGCGGCGGGAGGTACTGAGGCCGATGCAGTGCTGCCGGCGGGCAGCGGGGGTTCAAGGACGGCGGGGGGGGACCCCGGGCCATCGGCTCCTGCCTCTCCGCAGCTCCAGCTCTCTGGAGAGGGGCACGCACATGCCCACGTCGCCCACATTTCTGGAGGGCAACACAGTGGTCTGAGGGGCAAGTGGGCCACCAGGCCATGGCAGCGGGCTCTGTGCAGAGGCGCCGGGTGACCTCGGACAGACATGGGGGTTCTGCCAAGCAAGATGCCCCCCACGCCACACACCTGGGTGATATTGAAAATATTTCACCCTGGGCACGGCCGGCTGAGACACCGACCCGTCGGATGGCAGAGCTGCAGCAGGGTCAGAGGCTAGTGCAGTAACTGAAGTGACCCCCCCCCTTCAGACCTGAATCATGGGGAGGCCCCGGGGGACCGGGAAGGGGCCTAGGTGACAGCAGGCAAGCACTTGGGAGCTCAGGGCAGGAACAATTTACAACCCGGTACAAGGGATTTCAACATTTCACGACTCTCTGACCCTCTGCCCTGTACAGAACTTCCCTCTCTGAATCCAGCTCCCACACACCCCCCCCCCAGCCTGTCACCTTTTCCTGGCAACCTCAGGCCACTTCCCCAGAACCACTGTCCCAAAGGGCTGGGGGCCTCCTCCCTGACTGTCCTGGGCGGCCCCGGCTGACAGTTGCAAGGCCCAAATCCACAGCTTCCCCAAATTTCACCAGCTGCCCACTTTGGCTGCTTCTTCCCTTTCCTCTGGTCTCTCCACGAGATGCTGGGAAACCACGGCGGGGGCGGGGGGGGGCGGCTGGATGCAATTCTCAGACCTCATTGGCCAATTGCACTATCTGGGACACAAAGGAGTCACCAAGGGCTGGAAAAACTGATCAGGGGGAGCTGAGAGGGCTCTAGGCCTCCTGGTGGGAAAGGATGGAACTTGAGAAAGTTCTAGGGGAGCTGTTGGCACAGGACCCCCACTCCTAAAAACCACCCCCCCAAGCTACTCCCACGTCCAGCCCAGCCAAGGTAACCAGATCTCCTGAGGCAGGGCAGCCTTGAGCCTGCTGTGCCTCCTTTTGAGTTGTATTGTATGGAGAAGCATGGGGGTGGGGGGGCCAAGAACAACGCTTGTGGGGTGCTCTCCCCTCACCTGCCCCAGAAGGACTTTGCTAATTCCTTGGATAGATGGAAGGGATGTTGCGGTACAAATGTATATTTATGTGTGTCTGTGTGCACGTGTGTGTGATGCGTGTGATCTCCTCTCCCCACCGTGCTTCCCCAGAATGGATGCTATTGTTGTCTCACGTCTGTGTTGAAGCTGCCAAAGAGGGGTCCGGCCCCTGCACAGACCCCTTTGTAATTGCTGGCTCATCTCCCCGCTTGAGAGCTGGGGTACAGCTCGCCTCGGGGAAGGAAACCTCATGCCTCAAAGTGATTTCTTGTGAATGCAAAGGCTGGGGGAGGGGGCCTTGGGGGGCAAGGAGCCAGTTGGGGGCTTGTCTCCCCCCATACAGCTCCCCAGATGCCCCCCGTGCCTGAGACCCGGGCCCAGGCCAATAAACGGTTCAATCCCTTGTTTCGGTGGTTGTTGTCTTTGGAGGCTTAAGGCGCCCCGGCTGTTGCCCTAACTAGCACCCAGTGGCTGGAGGGTGGACGGGATGGGGAGGGTGGATGGGATGGGGAGGGTGGCTTCTGCCCAGGCCACTCATCCTTTGCCAGCCTTCCTATTCTGTGCCCCAACTCCGAGCCCTGCCCAAGCCAGGATTGCAGTGGCTTCTGAGAAAACAGGGTAAATGCTGACCTTTCCCCTAGGGCATCTGTCTGGCCCTTCCCAGTGATTAATTAGACTCCAGGCCTCCCTGCTTCCCTTCAAAGAGAGCTTGGCAGTGTGGGGAGGTCCCCTACTTCATCTCATCTCACGTACGTGTTCCTCCCTGGGAGATGGTCTTGGGGGACATGGGCCCAGATAACCCTCAGGGCTCAGTCTTCCCCAAAGGAATGGGTAACTTCCATCAAGCACTTCCCAAGACATGAATCCTCAGAAGGTGGGAGTTACTATGACCTATGGTGGAGATGTGGGTTCAGAGAAGGTAAGTGAGCCGCTCAGGGTCACACAGCTAGTTGGGGCAAGCGCCTTCTGCCTATGAACTCAGGCAGGAATAATTTACAACCCAATACAAGGGATTTCACCACTGGGCTGCCTCTGGGTCCCACCGGCTCCACCACTGGGACAGAGAGAGTATCCTCCACCCCCTCTTTGCCATGGAAAGAGTGGGGAATGTGAGCTGCCAGACCCCACCCAGAGCCAGGAGAAACCCAGATGGGACAAAGCTGGGGCGGGGGGTTCCTAGCTCAGCTCCAGGCTGACACTCCCTTCTGCCCAGAGCACAGGGCCCAGTGGCTCCTTTGAAGATAGATTTGGAGCTTTGATGGGGAACCCAGTCCCCTAAGCTAGAGCTCCACCCAGCACACCAATGCAAACACCTAGAGCGAGTGTGAGAAGGAGTGGGGCAGATAGCCGCCAGAGGCTGAGAGGTCTGCACTCCCCATCAGAGTCCCCCTCCTTCAGCAGTTCACAGACAGCCTCTGTTTGGAAACCTGAGCCCCAACTGAGTGAAAGAAGCAGAAGAGGTATCCGCCAGGCCAGTGTCAATAGATTTGCCCCAGATACACACCTGCTTTCTCTACCGCCTCCTTCTGGGCCTCTGCTCAGTGATCACCTCCTCAGAGGGGCCTGCCCTGACCATCTTCTACTAAGGCCCTCTCCTGCTTATCACCTGGGAGGATATTATAGATCCGTTTATCTGTCTCCTCCCCTCCACTAAACTGTGAGCACCTTCAAGATAGGATGGCATCTGTCTTACCACTGTGTCTCTAGCATCTTAAATAGTACTTGGCATGTTCCCACCACAGGGCCTTTGCACCTGCTGTTCCCTCTGCCTGGACTCATCTTCCCCCACATATGCCTGTGCCTTCTCTCTGCTCCTTCTGGCCTGCAAAAAAATATCACCCTGGGTGAGGCCTCTGGCCATGCGTACATTTCTGGTCCTATCTGCTTACCTTGCTACTCTCTTACAGGCAACACATTTTGCTTTTTTATCCTGATTATTTTCTACCTCTCCCTTTGGAATGCCAGTTCTGTGACAGCGTGGGTTTGTGTCTGTCATGTTCACTGCTTGGCCCCAGTGCTCAGAACAGTGGTGAGGACACAGCAGGTGCTCAATAAGTGTTTGTCAAATGAATAAAAGCAAAAGCACATGCTGGTCTTTTCAGTGAGAAGTTTATTTCCTATGAAGAGAATAAAATAGAGAAAGCAACAGTTTGGGGTACTCTATAGACTCTATTATTGGCACTCTGACAGGTTAAAAAAACAAAAAACAAAAAACTGAAGCACCAGAGAGGTCAAGTAATCTGATCAAGTTCCCACGGCGTGTGAGGGGAGGGGCAGGGATTTGAACCCCAGCAGTCGTTAGTTGAAAACTGTGGTCACGTCTGATCCTCCTCAGCATCCTGGCCTGAGGATCTAATTTGCTGACATCTCTCAAATCTTGGAGCCTAGAACAGAACAGACCAACCCACAGAGACGCAAGATGACTTTCCCTGCGGAGGCTGTTGGCCATTAGGGAGCATCAGAATCACCTGGAATAGGGGCGCCTGGGTGGCTCAGTCGTTGAGCGTCTGCCTTCGGCTCAGGTCATGGTCCCAGGGTCCTGGGATAGAGCCCCCCGCCCCTCCCGCTCCGTGCTCAGCAGGGAGTCTGCTTCT